AGCGGGGCGGGGGACGGGCTCAGCCGCAACGCCCGGAGCGGGGAAAACAGGGCCGGGGGGAGCCCCAGAGCACCCGGGGGCTGCAGGGGGGTCCTGCTGTCACCCTCCCTCCAGACAGGGGGAAATGAGAAGGTAGCAGTGGGAGGGGGAAAGGGAAGGAGGAGGAGGAAAAGGAAAAGGAAAAGGAAAAGGAAAAGGAAAAGGAAAAGGAAAAGGAAACCCCCACAGGCTGTGTCACCTGCAGGCAGAGCCCCCTCCCCCGAGTGAACGTGGGTGCCTGTACCCCATTCCCAGGGGACAAGCACCCCAAAGGTGCAGCTGTGGCCACACCTGCAACGAGTTTCCAGCTCTGGGGAGGGGCCGAGCCAGAGCCGTGCTGGTCTTTAGAGGTGATGACTGTGGATGTACCAGCCAGCTCGGCTGCACTGGGCTTTGGGGGGTGTTTGGTTTGCTTGATGTGCCCCAAGCACCCCAAGAAGGAGGAAAACCAGCAGTGAGAGGAGGAAGATGCAGGACAGGCCAGTGCTTTGGGAGGTAAGAACCAGCCACGGGAGCAGAGGCTCCTGCTGTGCCTCCCCCTCCCCAGATCCCCCACAGCAATTTTCTCCCCCACTGCCTGGTTTGCTGTCGGGGGGAGCAAGGTTTGAACTGGGGTGGGGGGACGGAGGGGGCGAGGGGAGGCTTGCAAGCCCTGGTCTGTGGGGATCTGCTGCCTTAGGGGAATATCTTTCAGCTATCGATTCCCCTTTATCAGGGAGCAGGAATATGTATGGGCTGAAATCCTGATCAATCCCCGCTCTGCAGCCGATCAATCAGCTGCTGCCCGAGGGCTTTTACAGAAGGGAGCTGCCGAATTTGGGCACGACCCATCGCTCCAGGCCAGGGGACAGGATTGTCCCTACCCACCTTTTTCTTATGGAAAGGCAGGAAGCTGGGGGAAGCCTGGCACCAGGCAGCACCCCACAGGGCACCCCTCAGGCACGCTCCTCACCCTTCCCTTGCCAAGCTTAGTGCCCTGGTGAGTCCTGTTTGGGATGGCAGCAGGATGTTCCATCCCAACTGTGGGGAGCCCAGTGTCCCAAACCCAGAGCTGTGGGGCACCCACCGACCCCCTGCAACCAGAAAGGAGCCCCAGGGGAGTATTTCTGAGGTGTGGGGAAGGTGGTGCCTGGTTAGAGCATCCTTGGGAACACACTTGTGTCAGTGTGCCCCATCCCTGTGATCCCAGTGCTGGGAGGTGTCAGAGCATCCCTCAATCCCAGCCGGGCTTGTTAGAGGCACAGGGAGAGCAGGGGAGCACAGGGGGCCACTGAGGGGAAGGAGCAGCACCGTGGCCTCCATTATTGATTGCTTTGTAGCCAAAGGTCAGCAGCGAGCGTGGAAGGATGGGGAGGAGGGAGGTGGGTGGCACTGGGATGCGGGGGGCTCTCTGCCAGCACTGGGGCCGTGCCATGGTGGGGTGGAGTGCCTGGCATGGGTTCCCATTGTACAGGCACTCACTGGTCATAGATCCCCCCTCGTGCCTCAGTTTCCCCACCAGCAGATGGGATGGTAGGGCTGGGTGGTCGTCACCAGGGTGGGTGGGGAAGGAGGCACTGGGGGCTGTGGGAAGAGTCTGTGCCCACGGGAGGGAGGTGGAGGTGGGCTCAGAGGGGGTTAGAGCAGGTCTGTGTGTCTCTGTGCAGCCAGGAAGGCTGTGCCTGTGGGATGCGCAGGGAGAGGGATCAGTTTTCCCTGGCAGGGGCTCGAAGGCTTTTCAGCTGGTTGGGTTCTTCCCAATGGGCAAGTGGTGACAGTGACTGTGCTGGGAGATGGCGCTGGAACCTCAGCCCCATAGCATCATTTTCCATGGCCCTTCAGCCCCCCAGGACACCTGGTGGGGTTTGCAGCACCATGAGGACACCAATCTCCATCTCTGCCAAAGCTGTGACCCACGTGCTGGGACTTTGCACATCCCTGAGGCCTCATCCTGCCGGGCTCAGGGCTGGATGGAGCCAGGCAGCCCCCGGGCAGCTCCGTGGTGCCGGACCATGGGCAGCACCGCCAGCACTGGGCTCCACAGAGCGCTGCCCTCGCCCCGGCCGTGCCGAGGGGGAAGATTTACAGGCTGTCAGAGCCGGGGCCAGAGGTCAGCAGGGGTCAGAAAGTCCATTTCAGTGAGGTCACTGTCCACTTCTTTCAATCTAATGAAGCCATTATTTGTGAAAGCGGCCGCTTTGCCGGCTATTCCCTTGAAGCCGAGCAGGGCACAGCAACCGGCTCTGAAAGAACAGGAAGGAGTCCCCTTCCCTTTCGCATTTGCCATTCAACAGGCCCCCAAAACAAATACACCACACACAGAAATATGACGCAGGGATGTGTCACCGGCACTGGGGGAGATGAGGTTGGGATGTAAAGGGGCGCTGCCTGGAAGTGCCACGATCGGGGATGTGGCTGTGTCGCACGGGTGGAAAGTCACTGAGGATGGGCAGAAATTGGGGGAAGCCGAGGAAGTTGCTGCTGCAACTGCTGTAATTAAATAGTTACAGGAAAATGCCTCTGGGACTGCTGAGCCACCAGGAAGGGGCTGGAGGGGGAAGCTGGTGCAGGGTAGTGGATTATTTTCTGAAGGATTTGGTTTTGGAGAAAGCAAGGGCTCATTTCTCACCACGTCTTTCCCCCATACCCTCACACCTCTGCACGAGAGTTAAACATGCAGGAAACTGGCTGTGCCTTCCCCAAACCCCAGGCAAAAGGGGGAAAGTGGGGAAGGAGCTGGGATTGAAGGAGGGATGAACTGGGAAGGATGGAGCCATATGGAGGGGCCTCTGGTGGATCTTGGGTTATTTTTTTCTCTCTTGTCCCAATTATCCTACAAATGAGAGGAAAATAAGAATAAACACAGCCTGTAGACCCAGCCCTTGCTGCCAGGAGATGCAGATGCATCCTGGCTCCACAGACACTGGGAAGGACCACGATCCCGGATCTCCACCAGGGACAGCTGTGGGTGCTGGCAGGTAGAGAGGGAATGCGAATGTGAGCAAGTGTGGACAGGCATCGTGGTTTCCCTCATGCCAAGACTGTCACCAGCCTTGTCCCCTCCACCAGCCCTGTCCCAGACAGGGAGCTCTGCAGGCTGCCAGGGTCTGTTTGGGGGGATAAGGAGTGGGAATCCCAAAGGAAGCACTGGCCAGACTCTGTTCTCCTGCTGCTGCAGACGACGGGCTGCTTGTTGGCTTTGAGGGCTCAACTGAGGACTGATGTTAAGAATAAGAACAGTGGAATCTCCTCCCCAGCCCGGTCTATCCCTGCTAAAATCGGTGTAAAATGAGATGGCACCTGTGAGCGTCACGGGTGGGTGGGTCACCCCCCACTCCACCTGTGTCCCGTGGGATGCTGATTCACCTCTGCTGCGGGAGCTGGCAGAGCCCTGACCGGCTGGAAAAATCCCCAAAGAGAAAAAGCATCTTAGTCCAGCACCTCCTCCTCTTCCTCCATCCTCCTCCTCCTTTGCTGTCTCGCCAGACCCGCGGGTGGGAGTCCAGCTCGGCTCTGCGGGAAAGGGGCAACCCGGAGCCCCCGAGTGTGCAGGGCAAGAGGAGGAGGAGAGGAGGAGGAAGAGGATGGACAGGAGGAGGAGGAGGAGGAAGGACAGGGGGAGGAGGAGGAAGAAGGACAAGGGCAGGAGGAGGAGGAAGGCCGCCGCCAGGACCCTGGACAGGGCCTCCCGGTTCAGCACCACGGTCAGCGCCGGGGGCCCCGCGGGCTGCGGAGCCTTCGCGCGGGGATTCCCCACGCGGGATTTTACCGGCAGCACCCGCCCGGCGCGGGGGTCCCCCCCCAGGTGACACCACCGCGGTCCCCGCCGTGCCCAGTGACCGCACAGTGACCCCCCCCCTATACCCCGCGCGATGACACCACGCGTGGCGAGTCCCGCGTGGGGCGGCCGCGGTGGGCGCAAACACCCCCCCCTCTCCCCAGCCACACTTCCCCCTGGAGGAGGGGGCACCGTGGGCTCAGCCCGGTGCGGGGGGCGGTGCGGGGGGACCCCCGGGCACAGCCCCGGGAGGGGCTGCGGGCGGCGCTGTGCCCCCGCGGCCGGGGCATTGTCCGCCGCCGGAAATGCAGCCGCTGGTCACTCGCCCTTTGTCCCCGCCCGGCCCGGGGGGCGACGGGACGCCCCCCGCCCCCGGCACCGCCTCGGCACCGCTCCCCGCCGCCGGGGTCCGCCGGTGCCGCCGGGACGGGGGTCGCGCATCCCCTGAAGGGTCGAGCGGTCCCCGGGGGGTTACACGGCCCTGGGGGTGCGCGACCCACTCGCGGGACACGGGATGGGGCTGGGGGTGCAGGAAGACCCCACTGTCCTAGAAAACAGCCCCCCACCAGGCCCTGGGGCATCAGCCCGTCCCGGTGCCGATTCCCCCCGTCCCACCCCGTCGCGGCTCGCAGGTGGCTCCACTCGTGGGGAGGGGGCGCGGGGAAAGGACGTGGAAACTCCCCCCAGTCCTCGGTGGTCCCACCTTCTGTCCATCCCGCCCCCCCGGGAGTCACCTCTTCCCTTGACAGGTGGCCTCGCCCCTAAGTGCCCTAAGTGGGGGGGGGTCAGCCCCCCCCTTCAAATCCCTCCCGGAATGTGTCGCTATTACCGAGGGGGGGTTAATTAGGATCACGTGGGGACAGGATGGCGGAGCAGGGCCCGGCGCCCCCCGGCCCCGCGGGTGGGTCCTGGGGCGGGAGGGGGGGGGCGGGGGCTGCCATTGTCTGCGAGAATTTGGGAGCCTTTGAAAAAACCCTCCCGCTCCCTCCCACCCCTATTGTTGGAGTGAAGATGGAGTCAAACCTCTCTCGGCTCCCTCCCGGCGGGGTCTAAGCTGGGGTTTTTTGTTGGTTTTTTTTTTTTTTTCCTCCTTTTTTTTTTTTTCCTTTTTTTTTGGCTGGGCTGATACCCTCAAAGCTGGCCGAGGAGGAGGAGGGAGGAGGCGGTAACAGCCACAACTCGGAATTTGCAAGCGAGTGTCGGGATGGGGTCTGTTTCCAACCAGCAGTTTGCAGGTTAAGTTATATTATTGTCGGAGCCCGCCTCGGCTCCGTGATTATTAATAACGACGGCAGAGCCCGGCTGGGGGGCGCAGGGACCCCCCGACCCCGGCCCACCCAGCCCCGCTGCGCCCCAGCAGCGCGGCCGGGCCCGGCGCGGCCCCTCTCCCCCGCGCAGCACCGGGGGGCTCGCAGGGGGGGATATATCATTTTTTTTTCATCCCCCCTCCAGCCCCAGGATGAGCCCAGAAGTTTGGGGCCGGAGGTGGCTGCTGGGGGTGTTTGGGAGCGGGGGAGGCCCGTGCAGCAGGGGGATGCTGGCGGTAGGGAAGAGTTTCTCCAGCGTGGCTTGCTGAGGGCAGGAGAGTTGCGGGTTGATATTTTGAGGGAGTTTTATCCCTTTTTTTATACTTTTTTTTTTTTTTCATCTTTTGAGTTTTGGTTTTGTTTTTGTTTTTTTTTTTAAATTGGCTTTTTGAGGGGGTTTTTGCGGGGTAGGATTTTTTTTTTTTCGTTTTTAACGTTTTTGAGGGGAAAACGGATTTAGGGCCCCCAGCCCACGCACCGCCTGAGTCGTGCTGGCAGGAGCTGCCTTCACTTCCCCCTGCTCCTGGGGTGGTCCCCACGCACACGTGGAAGCAGAGCTCACCGCTCTGTTGGGGTTTTTTTTGGAGGGGAGTTGGAATTTTTTTCGCCTTTTCCAGCCTGGGGAACCCGAGCAGGATTTGAGGCTCCTGCTGCGGGCCTGCCCGGCTGGATGCGGGGTGGCTGGGCCGGGGGGGACCCTCGGCTCCCCCAGCCCCGCAGCTCAGCGGCTCCGTGGGTCTCTCGCCAGGTGCGAAGCCGGGCGAGGAGCCGGCTGGAGACTCGCCCAAGCCCGAGAACGAATCCCAGCCACTGCACGGCTCCGGCATCTGTAAGTGGTTCAACGTCCGCATGGGCTTCGGCTTCCTCTCCATGACCGCCAAGGGCGGCGCGACCCTGGACTCTCCCGTCGATGTCTTCGTGCACCAGGTACGGGGCCGGAACCCGCGTGGGGAGGGAAGGGGGTGCAGCCCCCAGCACCCTCCGGAGGATGCGAGGCGGGATGGGGACCCCCCCGCCGCACCCACGCGAGGCCGGTGGTCCCGCCGTCCCAGCCCGGGGTCCAGCCGTGGTCGCCCGGGGCGGGTTTCCCCGGAGCCAGGCGGGTGGAAGGGCAGGCACGGCCGCAGCCCGGGGCTCGTCCTCGGGGACCGACCCTGTAAGCTGATCCCGAGCGATTTAATTTTCCCATCGTTGTTCCCTGAGGAGCCCCTCGGGGCCGGATCCAGGGGAGCAGGTGCCCGCGGGGCCGGGCGGGACGTGCCGGAGCGGGGACGCTGCTCGCCCCGTGGAGGGACACGGGGAAGAGGCGGTTTCCCCGCGGTACCCGCTCCCAGGGATGCGGGACTGCGCTTTCCCCCGCTGGAGCTCATCCCCGGGAGGGGGGAACCTCTGCCCGCGCCTCTTGTCCCGCTCGCGGGTGGCACAAAGGCGTGCGGGGCCGGGTGTGTGTCCCTTTGGATCCTGTATGACAGTGACAGTCTCGTGTCCGGGTTTGACCCTGCTGAGCGGGGAAGACCCGCGCGTGTCGGTGACCCTGCGCCGAGGGAAGTCGTGGATTCGGGGCTGCAGCTCCCGGGGGAGCCCCCCGCCCCGGCTCCCGGGGGAGGATCCGCCGGGAGACCCCGCGCAGGGGCTGGGGAAAGGGTTTGGAGATGGTGCCCAAACCGGGGCCAGCACTGGGAGGGAGATGTGGGGCTCAGCACCAGCTCGTGTGGACGGGGGTCTGTGGGGTGAGCGTGGTCCCTGAGTGTGGACAGCAGCTGCCGTGGGGCTGGGGAGCAGAGTGAGCACGAGCGAAAGGGGCTCGGGTGTTTCTGGAGTAAACACGGGTGGGTTTGTGTGTGGGTTTGGAGGAGCATGATGGTGCTGCCTCCAGGGAACCCCTGGAGCAGCTGCCTTCAAAGGCTGCTGCTCTCCGTGGGCCCAAATCCCCCCAAGCTGGGTATATCCTGCAATCTGGGGGTGCAGGATTGAGCCTCTGGGCTGCAACAAGCTCCTGGTGATCTCTCACCCCCTACCCACGAGTGGATGCTCCAGGGCAGGGCTATGGCGACTTGGCAAGCAAATGATGACCAGGGGAGATGTAAATCCCTCCTCCCTCAGCTGTGGTGTGGGCAAAGTGCCTTGTTAGGAGTTACTATCCCAGGCCAGGACACAGATGGTTTTGGAGTAGAGGGCTCCAAATCGGCCAGGGAAAACCAGATCCTGGTGCTCTCCAGAGAGCAAATGGGTCTTTGCATCTCAATGTAGCACAGCGGGACCCAGTGCCCCTGGGGAGAAGCCTCCCCGCCCTTCTCCTGGGGGTTTATTGCCCCCAGACGGTCTGGTTTCCTGATTGCTTTTGCTCACATTCCTGCAGGAAAGGAGAATTAACTGGGGTGTCTCTGTCGGGAGCATCCCACTGCCCGGGGAGAGCTGCAGCCTCCCGGTGCCCCCCATTTTCCAGGGCTGGGGGAGCCGTGGGGTCCCATGTGCAGGGTTTGCAGCATTTGGGAAACACAAGGAATACTGGGGGAAAGCGGGTTATTTTGGGTAGTAAAGGGTGGGGGGGGTTCCCCTGCTGCAGTGAAGGGCAGGGTGGTCCCAGCATGAGGTTTTGCACCAGCAGAATCGGGGCAGCTTTGGGCTGATGGAGAATCTTTCCCCTCTGTGCTGGGCTTTGCCTCCTGCCCCACTTCGCTGGTGGCACGAAGTTGCTGCTCTCCTGCAGTGAATCAGCCAGAGCTGATGCCGGCGGCTCTCCCACTGCCGAGCATCCCTGGCTCAGCCCTGGCCCCTTCTTGGAGAGGGACCAAAGTCAGGCTCCCACCGCAGCCTCGCTGATTTTGGGTGGCTCTCGGGGAATCGGGCCCTTCTGCCGATGCTCTCCCCATCCCAGCATCCGGGCGATTCCCGGGAGCCGGTGTCCACTCCCTGGGGAGGGTGTCAGGACTGGGAGGGCAAAAGCCAAGATCAGCCAGAGGGGACAGCACTCAGGGCTCGGGGTGCCCTGCCCAGCACCCACTGCCCGCTCCACACAGGGTACCCCAAACCGGCCTTTGGGGCTTAGCACCCCAGAGCCCCCAAAACCCCGATCCTTCCCCTCTTCATTTACATATGTGAATGATGACCCACAGGAAGTAATTGTGGGAGAAAGAAGGGAATTGGCCTCTTTAGATCTATTAAATCACTTTATTACAGGAACCAGGTCTGAATGGCCCCTCTCTGCAGGGAGCGCGTCTCCATCTCCCTCTGCCTTTATCTGATCACAAAGAGATTAAAATCTCGGCAGGACAGGAGACTAACAGGGCTCCTCGGGGCTGCCTTTCCCTCGCATTGTGAGCTAAAAATGAGGCATTTGGGTTCAAATGCCTCCCCTGGACACTGGAGATGGATTCATTTGGGGGCTGTGAGGACACAGAGGGGATAAAGCACAGAGGAGCAGAGCAGGTCGTCCCAGAGAGGTGAAGGGTTGAGCAGCACCCGTGAAGGGGTTGGGGGTCTTGAGGTGGCAGAAATTAGGGTGGTGATGGTGAAGACCCTAAAGCTGCAGTGGTCCCCTCGGGATGCAGCTCCTGGGCTTTGGGCATCTCTTAAAGGAGTGTGGGGCTGCCAGGGAAGGCTTCCTGGAAAGAGGGAGAGGAGAAAACTGGGGCACCCTGTGGCCCCAAGGCTTGCTGCTGCTTGTTGGAGCTGGAGGAGTGAACACAGACCAGCAGGGCTGGGATTTTGGGATGGGGCCCAGCTGAGAGGAGAAGGGGATGTCCAACCCCTGGGAATTGCTGCTCTCCACAGCTTGGCTCCAAGTGTTTCTCTAAGCCAGCAGGTCTAAATCCTTGATAAAGGCAGTCAGGTGGGTTTTTCATTTCTCCTTATGATTTTAGTGAGGAGAGCTGCTGGGCACTGCTGGGACCCTGTGGCTGCTGTGGCTGCAGGGTGTTTGGTCGCTGGTGTCTCTCTGGTCCTGTGCGTCCTTGCTGTGCCCATGGTTAGACCTGCTGGGGTGTGGCACTGCTGCCCTGCCCGAGTGCCCAGGGCAGCGTGGAACTAGTTGGGCACATCCCAGCACGGGAGAGACTCCAGTCCCCCTGTGATCCCTTGGGTGCTGCTGTCCCCGGGAGCCTCGTGGGGGTCAGGTTGGGTGGAGGGGCTCCATCTCCACTCAGCTGGGCAGGGGTGGGATGGAGGGGGATGGCGGCTCCTTGGACGTGGATTTTGGCCGAGCTGACCTGGGCTGTCACCCACCTGTGCTCCTGCCATCTGCCTGCATGTGGCCATGATAACAATAATAATAATAATAATCCACGTGAGCATGACGTGAGGTCCTAAAAAAAAAAAGCACGTGTTTGGAGGGAGCTCCATCCCTGACTGTGCAGGAGAGCAAAGGCAGGGGAACAAGGGGCAGCCTCTCTGTCAGGGAGCAGGGTCCAACCTTCCCTTGGGGTCCCCTGTTGGGGCAGGATCCGACCAGAAGGGTTTGGTTTGTGCAGAGCTGGAGGGGGGGCAGCAAAGGAAAGGGGGAATCTTTGAGTTGGAGTTGGACTGTGATGCTCACAGAGGTATGGGACACGTGCAGGATCTCATTTTTCCTGCTTTCTCGTGTGCATCTCTCCCGTGTTTGCTCTGCGGGACCAGGGTCACCCACAGAGCTGGGTGGGCACCAGGGTTACACACGTCCCTCGGGAAGAGATCATGGAATCACAGAGCAGTTTAGGTTGGAAGGGACCTTTAAAGGTCATTTAGTCCAACCCCCCTGCAATGAGGAGGGAACAACCCCCCCTCCAGAGATCCCCAGGGGTAGAAATGCTCCTTGGAATCTCTGCTTCTGAGGGAGGGAGGGATAGGAGCAATTTCTTTTTTTTTATTTTATTTTATTTATTATTTTGTGGGGTTTTTTTTGTTTTTTTTTTTAATAACCGCTGGAATAGAATTGTATTGCACCGCTCATGCGCCGCATCCTGAGGGAAATAGCGAAAGAGAGCTGCTTTATTCCACCCCTGAAACTCCCTCAAGACGCTCACACACACACACAAAAAAAGCCTCCTGTCTCTGTCTAAAGATTAACTGATGGCCGCAGGCACATCCCTTCCCCCAGCTCCCCCTCCCTGCCCCAGGGAGAGAAAACACCCTGGAATGGTTTCTTAGATAATATGGCCCAAATGAATGGGATTGCTCCCGGGATGGAGTGGGGATGGAGCTGGGGAGGGCTGGGATGGAGCTGCTGCCCTGGCGAGCCTCTGTCCCCGCCGCTCCCAGGTCCAGCTCCGACGTTTCCTTTTCCCTATTTACTGGCACCTAAGAATCAGCGGGATTGAAGCCGAAATCACCACTGGAAGATGTGCCGCTGCTCCCGGCCGCGTTCCTGCCTTAATAGGGGAGCACAAAATTAATACGCAGCCCCTGATCCCAATTAGCTGCCCCTGCGAAGCGCAGGAGGGTTTTGGTGGGGAAAAATACAGCCAGAGGAGCTAAAAGGATTTAGGACAGGAAACTGATGGATTAAACTCTGTGGTAGATGCTCTTTTTTTTTTTTTCCCCCAGAATTGGTACTTGGAGTTTAATTTTACTGGGTTGTGGTGGAGAATTAAGAGCAAACATAGTTACTTTGGCAGGAAAATAGCTTTATTTTGATTTTACTTGAACTGGGGGAAAAAAGAAAACGGGGATATTGCACCAAGGAGGCACTGGAAAGATCTGCTAATGTTAAATCCCCCGTGCTCCTCCCGAGGGCTCCCACACCCAACTCCCTCTTGATCTCTGCACCAGCTCCTGGAGCTGAGGCAGGACCCCCATTCCCAAGCAGCATCCACTGGCTGCTCCCATGGGGGTCTGAGCTGCAGGAAGGGACTGGGATGATTCCTGCTCTGAGCCCCCTATGTGTGTGAGCCCAAAACCAGCCCCTGGAGCTTCTGGCACTGGGAAAAGATTTGCTGTGTGATGTGGAGACAAGGAAAGGCTTTGCTCAGGGATGGATCCAGGCGCAGGCTGGGAAGGCAAAGGGACATTTCCCTGCTGGCCTTGTGGCCAGTGGTGGGGAGCTGAGCCGGCCCTGCTGTCCCAGGGCTTGAATCACTACTCCATGTGGGCCAAAACCTGCTCTGGGGGCTGTTTGCCATCGAGCTGTGCCATGCAGAGGTCACCACCAACGTGGTACCCACAGTGATGGGGCACAGGCCTCCTGAGGGCTCAGCAATCCCTGGGCTGTTTTTCCTGACCCTCCTCTGCAGAGTGAGGTGTCTCAGCTCACTGAGGCACTGCAGTGGGGTTGGGCTCCCCCAAAATGCTCTGGGCCGGGCCCACACGTGCCTTTGGCACAGCCACTCTTATCCCAGCATCCCAGCCCGGCTTGTTTTCCAAGGGATCTCAGTTTAAACGTTGCTGGAGGGACGAGGTGCAGCGGCCGCTCCGCCCCAGGCCCCGCGGGACACAAAGATGGTTTGATTGAGTGGCCGGGGCTGGCTGGGAATAAACGTCCCCTTGTGTCACTGTGGGGAGGCCGCGGGGACAATGGTGACCCCGGGGCCGACCGAGCCCCTCCGGAGCCCGGCGGGGTGGGGGTGAGCCAGAGCTCGGCAGTTTGGGGGGCAGCGGCTGGATTTGGGGTGCTCCGTGGTGTCACCCCTTCAACAGGGATCTGGGATCCGTGATGAAGGATTTGTTGGGTGGAGGAAGAGGAGGGGTGAAGGCACCCACGTGCAGGGGGGTGTGGGGGACACCCAGTGCCGTGGAGGGCGGGGGGTGGGCAGCGCTCGGCCGCTCACGTGCTGCGTCTTTGTCTGCCGTAAATCAGCTACGGAGGAAATCAGCTACGGAGGAAATCAGCTACGGAGGAAAAGGATGGGTGGAAAAGCATCCTTGGATGCTTTGGGTGGATCCTGGGGTGGAAAAGCACGCTGTGATGCCTGGTGAAGGGGTGCCTTGGTGGGGGGAGTGGCAGTGGTGGAAGGTGCTCCAGCTCTGCTGCTGTTCCTTGTCCTGCTGCTTAATCCCAAACCCTAATGATGACAAGGACATCCTTGCACCAGGCTGTGCTTTAAAACAGTTGGGATGGCACTGCTTTGTGATCCCGAGCCCAGGGTGACCCTATACCCCCCCTACCAAAACCATATCCCCAAGACTGACCCCCCAGCTCCTCCAAGGGACCCGGGCCCCAAACCCTGGCACCCAACGGGTGAGCCCCAGTTCTCCCGCAGCGGGTGAGCTGGACGCAGGGTTGGTGTGTGGAGGGGCTGGAGGGGGTCAGAGGGGCCGTGGCCATGCCGGCCACCCTTCCTCCCCCCGCCGGGGCCTGGAACTCCTGGAATTTGGGCAGCGGGAGCGCGGCCGCCGCCGGCCCTTTGTTCTCGCTGGCCGGTGGCTCCCGGCCCTGGCCCTCCCCTGCGCTCCCCCTCATCCCCAGCATCCCCGGCTCGCTCCAATCCCCCCCTTCCTCTCTTTATTTTTTGGGGGGGGGGGGGTGTGGGTGTGTGGAGGCCTGGGAAGGCTCCGGCTTTGTGTGTGGTGTGGGACAGGGGCTCTGGGCCCCTTCCTTTCAGATGCAGGAGGTATGCAGCTAATTCAATGGGCTGCAGTTTGATTACCTATCTGATAACAGAGGAATGCCAGCAATGTGTGTGTTTTGGGAAGGGGGCAGGGGGGATGCGCAGGGACCACCAGCCACTCTGCAGCTCACATCAAAAGGCTGCGGCAGGGGGGGAGAGCTGGGGCGCCCCAGCCTCTGTCCCCCCCCTTCCCTGGGGAGAGGGCGTTTCCTTTGGCCTTTTGGCAGAGGGGGCTGGGGGGGTGGTTGTCATCCTCGCCCGCTCCCGGAAAATAAATCGCTTCCCCCGTCATGTTGCAGCAGCTTCTGCCCCAGCCCTCCTCTTCCCCGGAATGGCTGGGCAGGGGTGGATCCTGGCACCGGGGCGATGGTGCCCAAGGTGTGGGCTCAGCTGGGGGGGCCCAGCCTGTGCGCCAGGGTCCCCCCTGCCACGGCTCAGCTTTGTCCCAGAGCGCCTGGGAGTTTTCATCCCCGCAGTGTAAACACAGCTGGGCCAGCTGGGGCTGTAAACACCCCGAAAGCAGCCACAGGAGGTGGCTGGTCTTGTCCCCCGGCCTCCAGGGAATGATGCTCAGCCCCTCCTGGTTCCCAAAACCCTGTGGCTGCTGCTGGAGTGGGGCAAATTCCCCATCTGTGGTAGCTCCTGTCGCCCAAACCACCTCACACGCCGGGGACAGGACAGGACAGGGCAGGGTGGGTGACTGACCCCAAGGTGCTGAGGCATCTCCTCTGATGTGCTGGTCGAGGCTTTGGGCACTGTGCTCCTGCTGGGGGGATGCTCAGCACTGGGGGGGAGCTGGGTTGGGGTTGGGGAGCAGTGGTTGGGGGCCCCTCTGAGCATGGCAGGGGCTTTGCCAGGGGTAGGTGGTGCTGGAACTGCCCTGGGTGGGCAGAGGTGGCCATGAGACCCTGTCGTGTCCTTGTTGTCATTGGGGACCTCATGGCTTAGGGTATGATTCTCCCTTTTGGGAGCAGGAGCAGGTCAGAGAGCAAAGGGCAATCCCATCTGGCCTGCTCTGGATCCCATACCAGCAGGCAAGGGTGACTTGGCCCAGCCTATGGGGTTTGTCCCGTGAAGAATTGGTCCACCAGGCACAGAAAAGGGGGGAAACAGCAGAAAAAAAGGGTCTCAAGGGTTGTTCCTTGAGCTCTGCTGCGTTCCCACTTCCCCCACAGGCCCATGGACATCCTGCAAGACCCCCCAGGAAAAATTCAATCCTAAAACCCAACAACTCGGTTCCTTCCCTCTCTGCTTTTACATGGGGTGCTCCCTCGTGGGTCCTGGTGAGATTTGGGGTGCAGATGGGAACAGACCGTGCCTGCCTGTCCCGGGCAGCGCTCACACAGAGGCTCCGTGCGGGAAGAATGGGCGAGCACGGCCCCACGTGACGGGAACTCTCCGGGCCATGAATGGGGGGAGATGCTCCATTCATAAATGCAGGGTCCTGCCGCAGCCGCGCAGGCGTTTGGCGCCGGCTCTGCTGGGAATCCCCAGCCCGCTGGAGCTGCTCCTCCCTCTGCCAGCAAATCCCCTTAACTCTTTTGGTCGTGGTCGTTTGGGCTCCTGCTGCCTGACGGAGTTGAGGGAATGCCGTGCCGGAATTGCTGCCCGGGATGCCTGAGTGGCCCTCAGGCAGAGCTGGCAGTGATGCTCGTGGCACAGGGTGTTAAGAGTTGTCGCCTGCATTGCCCAGCTTGGCTCCTCAGGGATTTGTTCTGCTAAAATGGACAGAGCTCTTGAAAGTGGAGAGGATTTTCCTATCATCCCACAACCCCCTCCCTAGCCTGGGTCTTTCTGGCTTGCATTGTGATGACCACTGTGGTGATCCTGGGAGGGATAAGAGGGGGTCCTGGGAAGGGTGGGAGAAACTCCCAGCAGTGATAATCCCGGGCCAAATGGCTGCTTAATTAATTATTGGAGGTGATTAAATGGCTTGAACTGAGGTGAGCTGCAGTGAGGGGGCTGGCAGTGCCAGCTTCCAGCCTCCTGGCTTTACTGTGGGTCCTGCCATGGCTGTGCTTGTGCGAAGCCTCGAGATCCTTTTGTATTTTTAAAATGATGTTTTGGAGGTGCAGGAGCAGCTCTTGCTTCCCAGCACGGGGCTGGGTGGGAGAAGGGAGTAGTTTTGCAGCGCTGACAGCCAATATTTTGTTGAAATTTGTGTCTGAGCTGTCTCTGCTGGCCCTTAAACCAGTGAGTCCCACTCAGCCGGGTGTCTGAGCTCACCGAATGCTCTGTGTTACCAAACAGGGCTCCAGACATTTTAGGGAGATGAAGGTGCCTGGTTGAGCTTGATCCTCAATGTCTGTCCTCTCACAAGGGACAGGCACAGGGGAATGTTGGCAGCTCTTGTGCCACAGGAGGTGTTTGCTGGGCTGGGGCTTGTCGTGTGCCCAGTGGACACCCCCAGCTTTGTGCTGACCCCCATCCTTCCCCTCCCAGAGCAAGCTCCACATGGAGGGTTTCCGCAGCCTGAAGGAGGGCGAGGCTGTCGAGTTCACCTTCAAGAAGTCATCCAAAGGTTTGGAGTCCATCCGGGTGACCGGCCCGGGGGGCGTCTTCTGCATCGGCAGCGAGAGGAGGCCCAAGGGCAAGAGCCTCCAGAAACGCAGATCCAAAGGAGACCGGTAAGGGCTGATCCAGGGCTGAACCTGGGCAGGAGCAGGAGCTGCCTGGGTACCCTGGGGATGGGCACGAGTCCGGTGGGGTGGGCAGCGACCCTTCCTCTGGGAAAGCAGCTTCCTTTGGCAGTTAATGAGTGGCAGATGCAGCTCGGTGGGGAAAGGGCAGGGAAGCAGCAGGGAAGGGCAGAGGTCAGGGACACCCCGGGCGGCCGCTCCCCTCGGCTCAGGGAGCCGTGCTGGGCAGGGGTAATTTTCTCCAAGAGCAACCCTTCCTTGTGGGAAGGAAATAACCGGACGTCCTGGCAGCGTCTCCCACGGTGAGGCTGCGAGCCCTGGGGCGAGTTTCTGGCCAGCTCTTCATCTCCCCCTCTCCTCTCCCATCCTCTCCATCTCGGCTTCCTGGAGATGCCTCATCCCAGTTTTCCCAGTGGATGCTGTCTGCCCCACTCCGCTGTTCTCATAAACTAATCAGAAAGGAACAGGGAAGGAAAAGAAAAGAGGAAAGGGTTGTGGCCATCCTACAAGGATGCAGGATGTGAAATGGACACAGTGTAGTTCCCTCTGCCCACACACCTCTGGTGTGAAGGTGGCACCCGTGGGATGGGGGCTGGAAGGTACAGCCTGGCGAGAAGCCACCTTTTGGGTTGTCCCTACACTGATGGCCATGGTCCCTGCAAGTTCTGAGGGCTGTGTAACCCTGGGAGCGGGGTCTGGAGACACAGGAGCCAGAATCCTGATGGAGCCAGAGGGGTGGAAGCCCCCGACGTGCTGATTTTTGTCCCCCATGTGTGGTTCTGGTGCAGGGGTTTGCTGCCATCTCCTGGGTACCAGCAGCACCACTGAGCCCAGACTGGCCCTGCTAGAGCTGGGGCTCTGCAGGGACCAACCCCAGGGCCACCATCGGCCCCAAAGAGCCGAGCCCACATCCCTGCAGCAGCCGGGCTGTTTAAAGCCCAGCTCTGGCTGTGAAGCCAGATAGGTCCAAGGCATGGCCATGGCACATCCCACCTCATTTCTCCTCCTGGAATCTCTCCCCTCACACAGATGCTACAACTGCGGCGGGCTGGACCACCACGCCAAGGAGTGCAAGCTCCCACCACAGCCCAAGAAGTGCCACTTCTGCCAGAGCATCAGCCACATGGTCGCCAACTGCCCCGCGAAAGCACAGCAGTCCCCCAGCTCCCAGGGGAAACCTGCCTACTTCCGAGAGGAGGAGGACATGCACAGCTCGGCCCTCCTCCCTGAGACCCGGGAATGATGGTGGGTGGCAGGGAGAGGGGGGATTCCACCGGGATGAAAAGGCTTTGGCAAGGCAACGGGCAGCTGTGGGGGCTCAGAGGAGGGAGGGCAGGGTGAAGGACTGGGGAGGGCAGACAGCGGGGACCCGGTGTCCCTGCACAGACCTTTTCCCCCTGTTCCCAGGCTGGGAAAAGCTCTACTTTAATCAGGATGGCTTGTTTCAAAAATAGGGGAAGGCATCACCCAACATACCCCTTCCAGCTAAAAAAACCCGAACATATTTGATCCATCTTTATTCTTTTCCTAAATTAAGCCAGGCGGCAGTGTCCCGGGGAGGAGGAGCAGAGGAGCCACATCACAGGGAGGAGCTCATGGCTCCTTGTTCTCCTGAGCTTCAAACAGGCTCTGGCACAGCTGGGATGAGCTGCAGGGGACCCACTCCTGCTCCTGCCCTTCCCCAGGGAGGGAGGCTGAGGGGAAAGGCTGGCTGTGGAGCGCCAGGGAGATGCCCATGGGCCGGTCCCATGGGTCCCTCTGCTCCTCGTGGCTTCTCACTTCCAGGGCAGTGTGAGGATTCACAGTTTTTCCACGGTTGCTCAATTGCTGACACCAGCAGAGCCCAGATTTGGGCTCAGCCCGGGAGGAAATGGATCATCCCTCGGGGTCAGACCAACACCACCTGCTCATGGGCTGTGAGCTGCGGCATGGGGGAGACCAAGTCAAAAGAAAACCACTTGTTTTTCTCCCAATCCCTCCCAAGTGCCAGCCCAGAGAGCATAAGGTGTTTCATGCAGCCAGCTCTTCCCCTCTAAGGCTTCTCCCTGCCTCTGGAACACGGAGCTGGGGAGTGGGAGGGCTTCATGGAGCAGGAACACTCTTTGTTAAGCCTTGAGCACCGGACATGGGGCAGGACCAGCTCCTGGGAATGTTGCTGGCAGCATTTCCTTTGGAACCCATGTACACATCCCACCCAGGGCTCACATAGATCCAGCCATGGCCTGCTCCAGACACCAGATTGGATCTTCCCACGGGCTCTGGATCAAACCCACACAGGACAAACACACACCTCTGCTCCTCCTGCCCATCCCACACTCCAAAAACTGACGGCTCCTGAGCCTCCCCAGGGACAGAGGACAAGGGTGTCCCCGGGTTAGTAGCTGCTGTCCCCTCTCCCCATGGCCCCCCCCAAGTCTTGCCTTTATTTATTGGCCCCGGTGGACACCCCTTCTCCCAGGGCAGCCCCCCCAGGCCGTGCCAAAGCCAAGGCCAAGTGAAACCTGCACTAGGACGTGCGTGAATGACGTATCTTTGGGTTTGTTTGTCGTCTTTTGTTTTGGGTTTGTTCTTTTCTTTTTTTTTTTTTTTTTTAATATAAATATTCTGGTTTTGTATTTTTGTATATTTTAATCTTTAAGAAAAGAAAAGGAAAAAGAAGAAAAAAAAAAAAAAGAGAGAGAAAAAGGACATAATTCCTGCAACTTATTCTCAGGTATTCGAGCAATCTCAGGGATAAAATGCCTCTGTAGCCCAGTGCTGGACAGAGAGGAGGGTTTTTTTTCTAACAGCACAAAGAAGTGATGAAGTTTGTATTGGAAGTGTAGATCTACCTCACTGCATGTTTGCTAGGTGGGCTGACGTGTTGTCGAGCTTTTCAGTTGTGTTTTTTGGTATGTTTGGGATTTGTTTTCTTTTTAATTGTATTTTAATAGTCTCTCTCCCTTTCCCATGCACTGATGGAGGAATTTGGGTTTGCAGATCTGTGTGTGAGGATGGAGAAGCCAGGCAGTGCCATGGGGCAGGGAACAGCTGCTAGAGCCCATGTCGGCTCCCCAGCTCCAGAGTTTTTCCCAGCCTGGTGGTTTTTGAGGACTGTCCTCTGTTTCTCTCTCCTGTTTATGCTCATACACCCCCTCCCCACCATCCCAGTAAGAACACTGCAGCCCACCCTGTGCCTGAGCCCTCCTGTTGCCCACGGGCTGGGGTGTCACACAGGCTCCCAGCAGGCTGGTGCCGTGTGGTTGGGGGTTGGAAAGCCAGAAAGGTGGGCCCAGCCTAATTCAGGGAGTCCCAGCCCCATTCAGGGGAACGTGGCAAGAGCAGACAGTGGCCAGTAGGGTGCTGGGAGACTGAGGGTTATCCTCAATGCCTCAATCCCCTGCCTAGAGCTGAGGGCTGGCTGTCCATGACCCTCTGGGACAACAGACTTGGTTCCAAGTCCAAGGGAGGTGAAACTGCTTCGTATTTTACTCCCTTCCAGGCTTCCCTCAAATGCTGACTCACCATGGCTGGGGGAAACTCTGGATGCCAGTTTTTGGGGCATTAACACTCCACTTTGCAGCCTTCCCAGGGAGGGCATCTCGCCGTGCCGGTGTCGGGCCGTGGGCGCAGTTTCTGCTGGTTTTTAGTAGCAATAGGTTTAGATGTAGAGCAGGGCTGGATCAGATGGGGAGCACTGACTCCATCCTCAAGGTTTGGGGTCACCAGGGGGACTTGCTGAGGCTGCTGGAGCCCGGTGACCCCCGGCACGTGGGCATTGAGGGGGATGGAGAGCGGCTCCCCAGCTGCTCCCTGCCTTGCTCCGGTAGTTTTATGGTGAGGTGGTGGTCTCTTCTTGGGAGGGGTGGGGGGGAAGGACTTTTAGTTCCTGGCTAGCAACGAGATCTATACAGAACTACTTCAGGAAAACAGCTTTAGTCTGACGGGGTAAATGCAATAGAGCGTTGGCGGGGGGCTCTTGGCCTCCCCTCGGCACCTCGGCTGTGCCAGGGAAACTGCTGCCCCCCTAATTCCTGTATCTGTCCTCAAGAATCCTGTAGGACCTTCCCCCCCCCTTCCTGCTCCCACTTTAATGGTCTGGTGATTTTTTTCTGCTAGATGTCTAGTGTGTGTGTGTGTAAATACCTCTGTAAATCTTTCCATTTTCTCTCAGTATTCTCCTTGATTATTGTTTACAAAAATAAGAGGGAAAAAAAATTAAAAAAAAAAAAATAGCCAAATGATCTAATAGGTTATGGACCAGGGAGATGGGATCTGCTCTCCCACATAGAGCTGCCACGTATGAGCTCTGTAACCATCCCTGTCCTGGGCTAAAGCAAATAGAGGATCACTCAGGTTTCCCCCGGGGCCAGAGAGGTGCCGGGATCCAAGAAAACAGGGATTTTTTAATCTGCAAAGGGGAAGCCACACTGGAGAAAGATGGGATTGATTCTCATCATCATCATCTCCTTGCGTTTGCCATTGTGGTTCTTCCCGTTATCTTTGACAATAATTAACTGAATTGCTGCATCATCACCCACCCTTGCCCGTGCTGGGCACTATGCATGAGGGGATGGGGCAACGCTCAGGGTCCTGCTGTGACACGGGAGTGTTTGAATGTATGAGGAATAAAATAAAGATATCCCTCAGGAGGGGGGTGTCTTGCCCTGGGGCGAAAAGCCTCGAGTCCCCCAAAAGTTGTCCACGAGGAGACGGAAGAATGTAACCCATGTTTACTGCTAGCAACCAAAGTTTGTGTCAAACCCGTGAAGTTTTATGGAGTTGGGTGGGAGGGAGGGGATGAATCGGGGTGGCTGTGTGTGTGTGAGGCTCAGGGTGACCCCTGAGTAACTCACACTTTTCCAAAGAGATTCCCTGCTGGAGTCTCTGCAGTGAGATTCCCCCGGTTCCTGTTGCCGCAGGTTGCCCCCCTCCACCCCGTTCATTTTATTTTGGGGGGATTTTTGTACCAACTGTGTAAAATGTTGTCTGGGGAAAAAAAATAAAAATAATAAAGACCATGGGCAATGGCTGCTGGTGATGCTGTGTGTGTGGTTACTCTTGGTTTTCTCCCCTGGGGTTGAGGAGCCCAGACCCCAAAACGGGTGCCAGGGCAGGGAATTGGGGTATCTGAAAAACCAACACAGCCCTGCCACGGGATCACAGACTGGTTTGGGTTGGGAAGGACTTTGAAGGTCATCTTGTCCCACCCCCTGCCATGGGCAGGGACACCTTCCACTAGCCCAGGTTGCTCCAGGCTGGCCTTGGACACTTCCAGGGATGGGGCAGCCACAGCTTCTCTGGGCAAGCTGTGCCAGAGCCTCCCCACCCTCACAGGGAGGAATTCCTTCCCAATATCCTACCTAGCCCCGCCCTCTGGCAGTGGGAAGCCATTCCCTGTGTCCCGTCCCTCCCCAGCTCCCTTGGAGCCCCTCAGGCTCTGGAAGTCTCTCCCCCCCCGCCATGGCGCCCTCCCCTCACAGCCCGCGCGCATGCGCAGGCCCCGCCCCGCCCTGGGCGCCGCCTGTGACGTAAGCGGAAGGGCACGTCACGCTCCGGCCGAGGCTGAGGGGGCTCCGGCGGGGCAGGGACCGGGAGCGGGAGAGGTACCGGGAATGAGGGGGGAAACAGGGAGGTACCGGACACCGCGGGGGAACAGGGAGGGGGCCGGGGCAGGTACCAGGCACCGAGGGGGAACTGGACATCGGGGAGAACTGGGAGGGGGCCGGGGTAGGTACCGAGACCGGGAGGGGGCCGGGGCGGTACCAGGACACCGAGAGGAGACCGAGGGAGGTACCGGGCACTGGAAGGGAACCGGGCGTCAGGGGGGACACCGGGAGGGGACCGGGGAAGGTAGCAGGCACCAGGAGGGAACCGGGGAGGGCACCGGTACCGGGCAGGAGCTGGGCACCGGCGGAATACCGGGAGGGGAGTGGAGAAGGTACCAGGCACCAGAGGGGAACCGGGCACCGGGAGGGGACCGGGGCAGGTACCGGGCATCTGGGGGCATCGGGGTGGGGGGGACTGGGCAGCGGGCAGCGGGCAGGAACTGGGCAGTAACCGGCCACCGGGTGGACGTTGGGTGGAGGAATCGGGCACCGGGGGAAAGGCCAGGGAGGCACCGGGAACTGGCCACTGAAGAGAACCCGGATGGCACCGGGGAGGGCACCGGGGGAGAGGGCACCGGGACACCCCTCGGGGGTGCGGGGTTGAAGGCGCGGGGGAGCCTCGTTCCACCGGGGCTGTGCCGGTGGAGGCCGAGGGCCGCTCCGTGCCCGGCTCCCCCTCGCCCGGGGGGCTGTCGGGAGCTGAGTCACCGCCGGTCCTTCCCCCGCTCGGAACCGGAGGCGGGGGTAGCGGCATCCCCGCTAGGCCGGGGGCGAGTCACGGCCCTGCCGTGCTCTGCCCCGGGGCACAGACAAGGGGCTGCTCTGGGTCGGTTTATCTTTAAGGTGACTTTGTAAAATCGCCCCTAAAAGGTTGATGAACAGCCAGAGCTGGCGTTGGGATGTTCTCAGCCCGAGCTGTGCAAGGGGAGGGTTAAGAGCTTTAGAACAGCCCGAGGTTCAGCAGTTCCTCGCCTTAATGTCTTGTGGGTAGAGATCCCTTCCTGAGAAATGAGGCAGAGAAAGCCCATATGGAACAATAATGCCATCGGTGTAATTATTTGCCTCTGCCCCTGGAGGGTGGAATGATTTCCAGGTGGTGGGATCTGGGCTGTTGCCCCACAGCTCTCCCAGCGTTGCTGCTGTGCCCACACCTCTCAGTGTTCCTGACTGAGAGACCTGAAGAAACCTGGAAATTCAGTAAAGTTGTTAGCTCAAACCACATCTTAGGGTTTGATGTGCAGGTATTGTGGTAAAAAAACCCAATATTTTTACAGCTGCAGAGGCCAAATCTCTTTATTTGTGAAGGCAAAGAAGTACCAGTGGGTGACATGGGCACAGGGCAGTTGTGGTGCAGGTTGTGGCTTCATGAAAGTCAGTTTGTGCTGATGCTACCCTGTGAGTGGCACCCAAATTGTGTGTCTGTACCAGCTTGGCTGGAGGTCTCAGTGGTGGTTTTCCTTGCCACCAGCAAGGATTCACTTGGATGACACAGCTGGAAAATTCCAGAGCTCATTCCTGAGCTTCCCCATTGCCTGCTTATCAAAGGACTTGTGCAGACAGTATAAATGGCTCCAGAACAGCAAGTCAAAGCTGATTTTTTTCAAGGTGGTTTGTTTGCTTTGGGCTCAAACAGTCATCTTTAACCCCTTTATTTTCATCTTCCCTTTGAAAAAGGAAAAGGAGCTCTGGGTAAAACATGTCGTGGATCAGAGAGGGCGAGCTGACCATCATAGAGAGGTTCTGTGCCAACATCATTAAGGTAAGGGATGGGTAAAGAACTGGCAGGTTCACCAGGGTTCAGGGTGGAACTGTTTCTGGAAAGGGAGCACTGCTGGCAAGGGTGCACTTAATGCTGGCACGGGATGTACATCCCTGAACAGCATTGCAGGGTGGGAGATTATTTAAGCTTAGTCTTGAGAAAGAGCAAGCCTGTAGGCAGAGCTTGCCAATAATGAGCTTACACTCCCAGCCTTCCATGCTGTGTGCCCTTGCTGATGAATGCAGGGCGTGGGAAGGAGGGAGAGAAAAGAGATGGTCGGATTGGGGGTTTTAAGAAATGAAACTGAGTTTCTCTGGATTAGAATAATAACTCACCAGTTCTAGGAAAATTCTGTCCTTGGTCAGCAGAGGCTTGAAGCTGGTGGTGCTGCCCTTCAGACCCAGTGAGGTCAGTGGAAAGGAATAGTCCTCTTTGTGGAGGGAAGTCTTATGACCTTCTTTTTGTTTTCTCTGAAGTTAACTGTGAAAAAGCCCTTCACTTATAAAACAATGCAGCAGAAAACTCTGTGCACCCTCCCCTGTGGCTGCAGAGAGGTTGCTGTGGCAGCACTGCTCTCCTGAGTACTGCAGTCCTCTCATGTGAGAGAAACAGGGAGGGCAAATTTGCTTTTTAGTTTAGGCAATTGTCAATACTGACATATTTTTTGGAGACCTCATACTGGGGTTGACAAAGAGGAGATGAACACCTTACTCATTCCAGCTGCAGATTTCATACCCTTGCACTCCTACAAACAGGCAGTGCTGCCAGGACCGGTGAGGCTGAACTCTCTGTGGCTGAGATGCCTGTTCCCCTTCAGGTCTGTTGTGTTTCTCCTTGTTTTCCAGGCAGGTCCAATGCCCAAGCACGTCGCCTTCATCATGGATGGCAACCGCCGGTACGCCCAGAAGTGTCACGTGGAGAGGCAGCAGGGACACTCAGAAGGCTTTGATAAGCTGGCACAGGTGGGAAGGGTGTTTGCTGCCTTGCTGTGGTGCAGGTTTGAGCTGTGTTTGCAGCTGGACTGGTGTCTTGTGTTCCTTCTCTTCGCTGGAGTCAGTGCTTGGAGGTACCTCCAGAGTCACTCCTGGGCTTGCAGCTTATATTTGTCATCAGGATTCACAGCTTCAGCTCCTCTCTCTTTGTTATCTTGCAGAGTCATTCTATTCAGCTGTTTTCCCCTCAGTTTTATACTCAGTTAAAATATTTACCTTACAGATCCTGAAGCTTTTATTTCTGTGAAACAGGTTGGAAGAGGTTTTGAAAGGTACAGTACTATAAAATTTATAGCATTACCTACAAGATGTACTTTCCCTGGCTGGATTAGTCCCATATCTGTGGTGGATTCTCACCCTCAGGGAGTGCTGTTTTCCTTCTGTTCTTTAAAATGAACCTGAATTTCACATCTAGTGGGTTTCATTGTCAGCTCTTGATGGTTGTTTCTTTTGATCCGGTCTTGGCATCATGGGAACCAACAGGAGGGTTTTACAGTGGAAAAGCTGAATCTTGTTGGCCTCTCTGATTGTCTCAGTCTGTTTATCTGACTTCTGTTTTTCTGTTATGTTTTGTCTTCTTGCAGACACTACGGTGGTGCTTAAATCTGGGCATTCAGGAGGTGACTGTGTATGCCTTTAGCATTGAGAACTTCAAACGCTCCAAGGAGGAGGTGGATGGACTGATGGACCTGGCAAGACAGAAGTTCAGTCGCCTCCTGGAAGAACAGTAAGAGTCCTCCCATGTCTGTCTGTATCCCACAGGGTGCAACTGAAGCAGAAGGTGATGAAGAGATGTTTACAGGGATGTTACAAGTTGTGGAAATGGATTAAATGAAGGAAAACCTTCTCCACCTCCAGTCAGAGATTAGTCCGGAGGGGCTCTGCCTGCCTGGATGGGATGTAGAGCTCCTGTGCATCACAGTCCCCCCACCACACCAGATTTGTGTCAACAGTCCCATCCAAACCATGGGGACAGGACAGCATTCAGATAAGCAGGAGCTTCTGATTGTGCTGATTTAGTACCAGAGTGCCAGATGCCTTGTTTTCATTAAGTATCAAAGCGTTGTCTTAATTTTTTTGATTAGTTAGAGGTGCCTGGAGTCTGTGTTAGTATTCTAAGCTTCCACATGGATTTTTATAACTTTTAGGTAGGGGTGCCTAATCCGTGATCATTTCCTAGGCCTTTGGTTATGTCTGTGCCTCAGGAACTTGTATGGGGAATGAGCAGTTTCCCCCTATGGAATGGTTTGGGATCATCAAATCCAAGCCAGCTTTGCACACCTGAAAAACATTTGGTGGTTTTGCCTTTCTCTAATTCTCGGTTTTACTGAAGCTGCTGGTGGATGTAACACAGGGCAGATGTGGCACTTGTGCAGTAGAGACTGCCCTGTTTTCTGTGGTCCTCACTCTCGTTGTTGGGTGTAGGGAGAACCTGAAGAAGCACGGGGTGTGTATCCGTGTCCTTGGGGACCTGCCACTCCTGCCCGTGGATATTCAGGAGCTGATTGCCCAGGCTGTGCTGGCAACCAGGAACTACAACAAGTAAGTAACACTCAGTTTAAATTGCTGATACCTCACGTCTTCCCTCTTCTTCCTGAAGGCTGAGACTTGGCAGACATGCTACGCCTCTTTTTTCATCTTTGTCCTACAGTCACACATAACTGTCACCTGCTGGACCTTCCTTGGATTAGCCTTTCACATCTTTTCCTCTTTTCAGATGCTTTCTAAATGTCTGCTTTGCATACACATCGAGACATGAGATCAGCAATGCTGTGAGGGAGATGGCCTGGGGGGTGGAACAAGGACTGCTCGAACCCAGGTAACTCTTGGCTTTCTCTGTGAGGCTTCCTGGGTGAATCCTGCCTGTCTTGCCATCTTACACTGCATGAGCAACCTCTCAGAAGCCAAGTGGCTTTTAGATATATCTCATTAAACCAGTAGGACTGGAACAAATGACTTAAAGTCACTATGCAATGTTTGGTTTTTATTATTTCAGTTGCCATGGGGATAGATACACAACCAAGACAGACAAGAAATTGGGTCTGTGTCTTAAGTTAGTTCAAATGTGAAGGCAGATTTTATGTCACAACAATTGGCTGCTTGGCTGATAGTCTTAGCTATGAGGTCAAACAACAGATGAATCATGAATACTGCACTGTTCCTCCACCCTGAAGGAGAAGGAGTAGTTACACTCTGCTCCAGCTGGAAATCCTCACAGTCTGGTTCCACCTCTGTGTTATGTTTCAAAGAGAATGGAGGGGGATGCTCGGGGGGGGCTGAAGGAGCATTTGGAATAGCCTGTGGAGCAGCCAGCAGTGTCCATCAGAAGCAAGCTGATGACCGGCTGTGGTTCAGCTCCACCACCCAGTTTTAACCCGCGGTCCTGTGTTTATGTAAAACCCCTCAGCAATTCTGATTTAGTAGTGCCACATCCACCAGGTCAGGATAATAAATTAATAAAATGTGTCTGTCTTTTAGTGATGTGTCAGAATCCTTGCTCGATAAGTGTCTGTACACCAACAACTCCCCCGACCCAGACCTCCTGATCCGGACCTCTGGAGAGGTTCGCCTGAGTGATTTCTTGCTGTGGCAGGTAAAGTCCTTCTTTTCTCTTTGAAATATTCCATCTCTACCTCAAAGAGTGCTAGTGTTCTACTGACTCCAGGTGTGAGCTGACATGAGGGCTCTGAAATTCTCTCTGCCAAGGATTAGGCAATTTCTTGCATGGACTGAGTGCTGGGGCACCTCTGAGGAATCTGTTTCTCGCCTAAAATAACTTGCAGCACAAATTTGAAATTGTATTATCAAGTGAAAACACTTAATAATGAATCACAAATCAGCCTAGGTGGCAGCAGTCAAGGAAATCCTGAATTGCTCATCCTTTTGCTCCTCTCCTCACGTTTAGGTAGTTCCTCATTTGAGTGGTAAATTCCTGGCTTTGATTAATTTAACCTGGCATTATATTTCCTGGGATGAGGAAGTCCCAGGAAAGATTTATAGATTCCTGGGAGAGGTGTTTGTCACATGTCAGCTGGAGGTGTAGCCCTATAAGGTACATCTAATGTACATGCCTGACTTGTCACAGTTTCAGGAGTCTATTTGACTTCCTTGATAAAACAAGATGCCACAAGACAGGTTCTGAGGGTGGCAAAGCCAAATCAGCATGACTGGGCTGCTAAGCTAAAACACAATAAGCTCCTAATGCATAAAAAGTTCATGTATTAGCAGTTAAAATACCCAAAGCTGCTTCCATTTCACTCTCTCCTGTGCCAGGCAGCGTTGACCTGCTTGTAGATTGAGTCAAGCTGCTTCACTTAAAGCTCACATGTTGTTTTGCATACACAGTTTGGAGCCAAAACCCAATTGCCTTTAAGCAACCACATCAAATGTTCCCATTCCAAATTATTTAATTGACAAGTTCTCAGAAGCACTCAGGCCTGAGTTGTGGTTACCTACCAAGGCATCCCCCTCTCCTCCCTCCAATTTTGAGCACACCTGTACCTTGGATGGGTGTCAGTGCTATGAAATAACACTTTGCTTGCTCCTCTCAGTGGTACAGGAGTCCTTTTAAGTGTTAGATTTTTTGGTAATGGCCATGGGAACACATTTACCTGAAATTTTGAGGAGCCTGATGGCAAAAACAGGCTTTAACCTGAAAGGGTTCGTCGTTCATCTCGAGGGTATCTTCAGTGCACCACAACTCTTGGCTTCATTGAGCAGTTTAAATGCCATGAGTGGGCAGTAAGGAGTATCACTACATGTCATTTGAAGAATGGCTTAAATGTCATGTCCTGATCCTCAGGACATTACTCCCTTAGACTTTGGTACCCCAGTGTTGCTATTTTAGTTTTTTTATAAGTCTGTGATGCTTAAGCTATTAAAAATACCTCTGTGAAGACCAACACAGCATTAGAAAGAATTCTGATGTCTTTGCAGGAGTGGATGACTAGTGTCCCAGCATTAAAAAGTAATTAGAAAGACTCTGCATTGTGCAATTTCAAACTCTCCTGGCTGGTTCTTATTTTAAGTAGAATCTGATAACACAGCTTAGGTAAAACCTTTGTAGGGAAACTGGCATAGTTTGCCCAGCAGAGCTGCATCTTGATGACTTTTTACCCTTGCTCCATGACTGAGTTGTTGGTGATCTTGCTTTCTGCAGACATCCCATTCATGCCTGGTGTTTCAGTCAGTCTTGTGGCCAGAATATTCCTTTTGGAACTTGTGTGAGGCGATCCTTCGGTTCCAGATGAACTACGGTGCTTTACAGGTAAGGGAGCCCCAGGGAGGTAAAGCCCAACACCAAGTGCTACCTGCACAGCTGGAGATCAGGTGAGAGGGTGCAAAGTGGGAACAGGAATTGTTAGTTAAGATCCTGTTGCAGTAGCAGCTCGTGCCAGATGTGTTGCTTGTCCTGTTGTACCCATGTGGCTTGTTACAACATCTTAGTGTGTGGCCAGACTCCTCTGCTTTCAGCAATACCCAAAATGTCTAAAGCCACCACTGTCTCTGTCACTCATTGCTCATTCCCCCAGCTGGAATATCTGTCCCAGAACTCACACAAGAAGTAAGGACTCCCGATCTGCTACAGGGTGAAAACAACCAGTTTGAGTCAAACACTTCATCAGTGGCTTAAGCAAAGACTGCTGAGCTCACACTGGAACGAGCAGGGAGAATTTCCATGCTCTTCCTCTAACCCACCTATTGTTTTGAGGGTTGTAACAAGTGAGTTTAGAGTTTCCTTTCTGGGAGCTGAAGTGGGGCTGCCTGAGCTGTGAGTCTGTGGACAAGTGTCCTCTTTCTAGTGGGTCCAGATGTACCTGCTGAAGGGATTGTTCCCATTGACGTTGTTCCTCTCCTCTTAGATCTGTTGTTGTGAGCTCTCCCTGACCTGGTTCAGATAAATCTGGCCAACTAAATAGTGACTTAGTAATCTGGCTATTTATAAGCAAAGCAAGTGCGGGAGCTGGAGCTCTTGATAAGGAAGTTTGGGGGGCAGCAGCTTGTAGAACAGAGATAGCAGTAACTGGCAGGAGGAGGACCTTGGGGTGGTGACTCTTAACCTCCACCATATCTGGTTGCTGAGTGTGTCTGTTCCTTAGTTATTTGGGTCCTCTTTTTAAAACAGGAATTATATTGCCCTCTTCTACCTTCAAGGACCTTGCTCACCTCTGAGAGTTGTCAAAGAGATTACAGCCAGTTGTGGTTATGGCTGAATTTAATCAGGTGCAGTCAGTCTGGCAGCATCCAAACTCCCCACATCCTTAACCTCTTTTATTCCTATTCCTGGACCAAGTTTGCCCTTTTCCTACCAGCAGTTCATTGTATTAGTACAACTAATGGCAGTTCACCTTCTGCATGAAGAGGGAAGCAAAAAAGGCAGTAGTGTTTGTCATTGCCATGAGCTTGGCCTCTGTCTGGAACAGTAAGGTCACTGTTCTGACTTTGCTCCTGGTGCTGGTTTCTGACTGGTAACAAATGCTGCTTCTGTTCCCAGCTATTCTCATCTTTTCTTAGTCCTGGTTCGTGGCTGGATGTGCTCATGCCATGCTATTATCAAGGTTTCTTATTGTCCAGATTTGTTCTCTGGTCAGTTTTCTCCCTGTAAGACCCACTTTGCAGTATCTGGAGCTGCAAGGTTTCAAGGGAGACCTCACAATTGTGCAAAGGAAGGATTTCTCCCTCAGAGGAACTGCTGAGATTTAGGAGCTGGATTTTTTTTTTTCATTTAGAATAGGTGATCTTGAAAGCCAAAAGTACCTAGATCTCATGAAACAAATTCCCTTGGTGGAAGGGTTACTGTCAATGAGGCTGGTGGAGCCAGGAGGTGACTTGCTGAGAAGCCAGGATATATTCCAGCAGCTGTGACTGCTTTGGGAATGTGCTGCTGCATTTGGGATGCACGAGGCAGTTTGGGTGTAGATGGGCAACTGGATGGAAGGGGGGTGACAAAATACATTAAAAAACTTGAATAGGAAGTATTTGATAAAAGATTTCCTCCTTCCATTGACTCAAACAACATCACAATTAATGGCTGCCATCTTAATTTTCCAGTTACCCTGCTGCTCAACAGGTAGTCCCAGGATCAGCTAGAACCTGCTTTTGGTGCCTGGTAGATCTAGGGAGAGAATGCAGAATTCATTCTCTGCCCAGCCTGCCCCATGCAGGGGTCAGGCCCAGTCTTTTCTGGTGAATAAACAGAATTTCACTTTGAGGGTTGAAGGCTTCTGCTGAACAGGCTGATGGTCCCTGCGTTTCACATCAGCAGGGCTACAGCCCTGGAGTGCATCCATTCAGTGGGGTTTCTGTGGCTGGGAATATTTCTGCTCTCATTCCCAGCACAACAAAAGCTAATTTCCAGTGCCAGAGCATAGGCTGACTTGGGCTCAGGGAAAGTGTGGGGAAGAGTGAGTCAGGCTCTCATTAGAGTAATTATTTCTCCTTGCTTGTTCGAAACACCAGCACTCCCTAAGTGTGTGTGTGTGTCAGGTTATGTCACAGTGACCAGTTTAACTGTTTTTAAAAATAGAAGCTTAATGGTCCTGCGTGCTGCTGATGTGTTTTTGTTGTTGGAGGCTGCAGGCCAGGGCATGTGCAATAAGGAGAAATCTGAAAGTGATGTTCTCCAACAAAAGATTTCAAATACTTGAAGGGTAGGCAAGGATGGCTCCTGCCTTTGCCTTATTCCTGCCCATCCTGCTGTGTCTCAAGCCAGTACATTAGTAGATCACAGGCATTTGGGAATGCTGAGCCCATTCCTGCTTTTGTTCTGAAGCTGATTAGCTCAATACCTGATCATCTGCTCAAAGAATTGCCCTATAAATCATTGTTCTGAATCCCCTAAAACCTTTCAGCTGCCAGGGGAACAGGATCAAAGATGCTGCAATGACACTGGTGAGAACAGCAGTGTGCACGTCTGGGCTTTAAATGTTCTCTTCTAGCTGCTCCTCTGATTCCAATATCTGAGGGTTTTCCACAATGTGTTGTGACCTTTATCTATTTTAACTAAGTGTGAGCAGAGCTGTGTCTTGGGGAAAGGTCCAGAAGGATATCCCTGTATTTTTCATAGCCAGTCAAGCAGGCAGCCTCAAAGTGGAGGAGGCAGACCCAGAGCCACCCTTCATTTAACCTGCAGGTTGATGGGCAAGCAGAGCCTGTGCTGCCTCACACCTGTGCCACAGGTGAGCTGAGAGGCCTGGTAAGGTGCTAACACTGCCCTGCTTTTCACTCCAGAAGGCCAGAGACTCCTACATGGAGGAGAGGAGGCGACAGCAGATGGAAAGGGATCAGGATTATGTGACAAGGAAGCTGCAGCAGGAAGGGTGTGCGTCCCACGGAGACTCCCGGCGCCGACGGACTCTGCTGCAGAAATGCACGGCCATGCGGGAGGAGAGGATCCAGGGCTTCCTGCAGGCACTGGAGCACAAGAGAGCAGACTTCTTTGAGAGATTGTGTACGGTGTCTGCATGACACAGGGGCTGGGTTACCTCAGGAAGACAACTTTTAGAGGGAGCAGCTGCTGCCCAGAGGAGCTGGCTCGCTGTGGCCCTGCAGCAGGGGTGCGAGGCTGCTCTAGGACTTGCTGGCCCTGCAGGGACAGGGACTGTGACCCTCTCTAGTGCTGTGAATGCTGCTGAGGAAGGTGATGCCGTCCTGTCTCACCTCCCTGCCACAATGGCAGACAATACCTGCACCCTCGGTGACAAGAAGTTAAACTGCAATGAGCCTCCAGTTGTGTTTGACTCCTCGTGAATTGGCCCAGCCAAACCAATTCAGTCCCATTAAATCAGTCCTGGCCTTGAATACTTTCCATGGCTTTGCAGTAGGGAATCTTCTGTTGAGATTTCCTCTGCTGTCCCATCAGGGGAGCCTTGCTTTCTGGCAGGGAGAGGGTTATTCCTGGTGTCAGGGACATTCCCCACTGCCTGCTTTGGGATAGCATCTTGTCTTTTCCCCACCTGACTCTGCTGGGTTGGATAGATCTGCTCTTGGCTTCCAAAGAGCTAAAGAAGGTGTTGCCAGCCTTGCTGTGAAGAAAAAAATACTCCAAAGCTTCACCAGGTCCTGTGATCCATCTGAGCAGTGTGGGGAAAACTCAAGTGCAGAAGATGCTGGTGTTGGACCAAACTGACCTTGGGAAAGGCTCTGAGCGGGAAAGGCTCTGAGCAGGCAAGGAAAAAGGATTGGTTGGGAATTAACCTCATGGCTTAGAAGGGAAAAGAAGTTAGCTAAACCCAGGTGAAGGCTACGGTATGCCAAATCCCTCTGAGCCCTCTCCAGAGATGAGTTCCAGGGAATATGGGTGGGCTTAATTCAGGAATACAGTAGCCAAACCCAACCTGACCCCAGCCAAAATGGTTCAGAAGGGCTATTTGGCTGATTTTAGCAGGAGTGGCCGGAGCAGCTGTGGAGTGTTGTTTGTTCTCAGTTTTCCATTGGCAGGGAGCTGGACAAGCTGATTTCCAAGATTGTTTCCATCTCTAATTTCTCCTGGTTTCCGTCCCCATGGTCAAAATAAGTGAAAATGTCTGGATTTGTTGTTGTTGTTGTTCCTGATGCACACACAGGTGTGGCAGTACCAGCTATTGCTGGGTTTAAAGTGTTTCTTTTTACCTCCAGGTGAACACTAGAAAATGCAGGTTTAAAAGACTTGTAAGTGCTGCAGAGCGAGCACTTGGCATGTGATTGTGAAGAGGATAACTGCGTTGTCAAACGAGGAATAAAGCATATTCATACCAAAGTTATTTTAAAAAATGAGCTGAATGTTTAAAAGTACATAGAGCTGCTTATTCTAAGGTGTGATGAAGTTGGCATCCAGGTCTAATATAATAATATTTAACCTGTGACAGGCTCCTCATGTGATTCCTGTTAGCCTGGGAATGATTTGAAGGTTCTTTTTACAGTGTAGTGTGAGCAGTTTGATGGTGCTCCAAAGCTTGGCCGAGTAAAGCTGCACATGCAGGTACCACCTCTTGTGTAAGTAGCAAACAGAATTTGGATAAAGATGTGCTGAGATGATGGGAGCTGTTGATTTTTAAACTTCTTTTGCTGTATTTTCTCCACATTTCAGGAAACTCTGGGAATAATGCGCTCTCCATGAGATGGAACACTGTCCAGTCTGCTTTGCCTGGCTGATGGGGAGGTTCTTCTACCCAAAAAATGTATTTTTGCCTTTAAAAAAAAAACCAAAACCTTTTCCATTGTGTTATGATTCTACAGGTGACCAAAGCCACAGTGGTGGCTTTCCACAAAGTACTGTTGCAGGTGTGGTAAGTGAAGGATCTGGTTTACAAAAGGTTTGTAGGGGAAGTTTTAATAATCCCTTTTATAAAAGGCATTGCTGGAGTAGGGGAGGAGGAAAAGTCCTTCAAGCAGTGGCAGAAGGTTTGTATTACCTGACTTTGTATATCCTACTGCATCAGTTATTCCAGTAAATATAATTCCAGTTATGTCCCCTGTAAGCCTGCCTTTATTAGAGGGTGGGCATAAGTTACCCAGGCAAACTTGGGAGTTTCAGGAGTCCATCTTTCCAGTGAATCTGTGGGAACAGAGCCACAGGCTTCTGTCAGTGAGAACTTCCATAATTCGTGTTTATGGGGTGAAGATGAAAAAAATCAGCACGGCTGGAAAGATGTGCGGTCAAGGCCTGAAAAAGCCTGGGGAAGGGAGCTGTGGGAGGAAGGCTGTTCCTTGGAGTGTTTTTTGGGATGAGGTTCAATTAAAGAGCAGTTTGGGGCACAACGAAGTCGTGATGAAGCTCCTTAGATGTGAAGGACGTGGGCTGTGGCCCTGCCAGGTGAGAGGAATGTCCCCTCCTGGGAGCAGCCCAACTCCCTGGAGCCGCCTGGCACCACCGTCGGTCACCTGTCTTAATCCCTTTAACCGTCATTTTATCGCATTTTAACATATTTTTTCCCCCCTTCTTTTCCTTCCAGCACCGCCGGATACAACTCTTCCCCCCCCCCATCTCAGGATGGGGTGGAGGTGGGGAAAAAGGGGTCTCTGGGCAATTCCTCCGGGGAGAGACCACCCTGATATATCCCAGAGGGTGCTGAACGAACAGCTCCGCTCACCTGCGCGCGAGGGGGGGGGGTGTGAGGGGAGGTGGGGGGGGGTAATATCCCCCTTTCCCCCTCCGGCCGCTTTTTTTGTTTTTTTTTTACATTTTTACATCCCTAATTTTTACCTTTTTTTTCCCCCCCATTTTTAATTTGCTTTTCCTCCCTCCCTCCCTCCCCTCACGTCTCCCCCCTCC